ATCCAGTTCACAAGAAACACACACGTACAGAACGACAGTCACTTCACGACGGCTATTCCCATGTACTCGTATTCTCCGCCCATTCCGCCATCTTATTAATTTCCTTTCTTTCTTCCATTGATTCATCTGCAAATTCTTTCTCTTCTGATTTCCTCTCTCGATCCTCGTGAGAACCATTCGGGCATTTACCGTGTTTTCATCTGTTTGTAATCGATCTTTTCTGAGGCGAAATGGCTTGCTCGGCGACACCCAGAATGGTCCATAATCCTCTCTCGATCAGATCTGCCGAAAATGCTGATCCCTGCTGCAAAAATTTGGGGCCCTCCTCTTTTTTGGGCTCTAAATCGCTGAGCAAGGAGCTATTTTCGGTTAAGAAGGCGGCACCGCCTGTCGGCCGCCGATCCTCCACCGTCGTTGCAGTCTCATCGGATGTTGTCAAGGAAAAGAAGCTCAAATCCAGCTCATCTGTTTCCAATCTGGTGATTAGATTTTCCAATTTCGTTGTTTTTCAGTTTATTTCTTGTGTGTGTGCACGATAATGAGTGGCTCTGCTCATTTTTAGCAAGATGTTTTGTTTTTTTTTGGCGATGTAATTAATTTCATTAACGTGCATGTACCTGTGCTGTTTGTAGTTAGAGTTTACAAATGATGAATTTTCATTTTTTACCCCAATTCTTGTGCTGGATTGCTCTCTATATTGTGTACATTATGTTTCGATTGCTGCATTTATCTTGTGTGAATGAAAAGGACAAGCTTTAAATTGATCAGCTACTGATGTATAAGTGAAGTGTTTGCACAATTTTTCATTCCCACTTGAGCCTTATTGAAATGTACTTACTGATAAGCTTTTTTTTTTTTTTTTTTCATTTACTTCAATATGAATGGTTTTTCAAATTATGTCCTTCATTGTTTCAATCCTCAGCTAATTATATCAAAATTTCCTGCATTTATAGCTTCTAAAGCAATTAAACAACTTATTTATTTATTTTCTGGGCGTGCAGTTGATCACGAAAGAAGAAGGCTTGGAACTGTACGAGGACATGGTTCTCGGACGAGCCTTTGAAGACATGTGTGCGCAAATGTACTACCGAGGCAAGATGTTTGGATTCGTTCACTTATACAACGGCCAAGAAGCAGTCTCTACTGGCTTCATCAAACTCCTGAAGAAAGAGGATTGTGTCGTGAGCACTTACCGTGACCACGTTCACGCCCTAAGCAAAGGCGTGCCAGCTCGCCAGGTCATGAGCGAGCTTTTCGGTAAGCCCACTGGCTGCTGCAGGGGCCAAGGTGGATCGATGCACATGTTCTCTAAACAGCATAATGTTCTTGGCGGCTTTGCTTTTATTGGCGAAGGCATACCAGTTGCAACTGGGGCTGCTTTCACTAGCAAATATAAGAGAGAAGCTCTGAAGGAGGATTGTGATGAGGTGACTTTGGCTTTTTTCGGGGATGGCACTTGTAACAATGGTCAGTTCTTCGAGTGTCTGAACATGGCCGCGCTTTGGAAGCTTCCGATTGTGTTTGTTGTGGAGAATAATTTATGGGCTATTGGGATGTCCCATTTGAGGGCAACTTCAGACCCTCAGATTTGGAAAAAAGGTCCTGCATTCGGGATGCCGGGGGTTCATGTCGATGGTATGGATGTATTGAAGGTTAGGGAGGTTGCGAAAGATGCTATTGGGCGGGCTAGAAGGGGTGAAGGCCCGACTTTGGTTGAGTGCGAGACGTATAGATTTAGGGGACACTCTTTGGCCGATCCTGATGAGTTACGTGACCCTGGTGAGCATTTTGAGTTGCATTTTTTTGTTTTCTAATTGTTGGTTTATTTGTTTTGTTGTGCTATGTTAAGTTATGAAAGCTGACTGCAGTGTAGTAGCATAATCACAAACAATCTTGTTCGTTCAAAATTATGAATACGCATTAACATTTGTTCCATTTTAGAAATAGGGTGGGTAATTGTCTGGTAAAATGCAGACAACAAAACCGTGTTTCTAAATTCCAAACGGTTTACCAGCGCCATTTGTGTTATGACTAAACCTCATGAAAAGGTTTTTGTAATCGTCCCTGTGGATTGTGATAATATCTCCACATTACTAGCTAGTGAGTGAAGCATGCACATTTATGTGATTCTTGTGGTTACACAAATATAAGGGGATACCAATAGTTTCGTAAAGAAAGGAAGTATGTTTCTGTTATTAGACTAAAAATATGATGTAGCTTTTGTAAGTTGCTCATGTAAAAATTTGGAAGTCCACATTATAATTGTATTTTTTACTTTGACAGCTGAGAAGGCTCATTACGCCACAAGAGATCCAATCACTGCATTAAAGAAATACATAACGGAAAACAAATTGGCAAGCGAAGCAGGTTTGAAGGCCATCGAGAAGAAGATTGAAGAAATTGTTGAAGATTCTGTCGAGTTTGCCGATAAAAGTCCGGTTCCAGCCCGAAATCAGCTGCTAGAGAATGTATTTGCCGACCCAAGGGGATTCGGAATCGGGCCTGATGGGAAGTACAGATGTGAGGACCCTAAATTTACTGAGGGCACTGCTCAGGTGTAAGAATGATTCACAGCTAAACTAAAAAGCCTTGACAGTATTAGTGTTCAGTTAAGTTATTCAACTGAATCTTAGTATCTATTTCTGATTGAAACGCAATTTCAGCATCTATCTTTGCTGTTGTTGTGTTCTTATTGTCCAGGCCTTTTATTGCTCTGC